GGCACGAGCACGGTCTGGGCCAGAGGCAGGGGGACAGGGGGGACAGGGGCGACAGGGGCGACAGGGGCGACAGGAGCGACAGGTGTGAGGGAGGAGAGGGGGATGGAGCCGGAGGGGGCGGAGGAGGAGACGGATGTGACAGGTGTGAGGACAGACAGGGGCAGGGAGAAGGAGGGCAGGGTCGGCAGGGGCAGGGTCGGCAGGGGCGGCAGGGGCCCGGAGGAGACGATCTGTCGCAGAGACGAGCTCGGACTCGGGACCTGGATCATCACGACCGGAGGCGGATTTAAAGACGGACGAACGTTCACCTGAAAACCTGAAACACACACGAGTCAGACCAAGACCAGGACTAGACCAGGACTAAACCAGGACTAAACCAGGACTAAACCAGGACTAAACCAGGACTAAACCAGGTCTAAACCAGGACTAAACCAGGTCTAAACCAGGACTAAAACCAGGACTAAACCAGGACTAAACCAGGTCTAAACCAGGACTAAACCAGGTCTAAACCAGGTCTAAACCAGGACTAAACCAGGTCTAAACCAGGACTAAACCAGGACTAAACCAGGACTAAACCAGGACTAAACCAGGTCTAAACCAGGTCTAAACAGGTCTAAACCAGGTCTAAACCAGGACTAAACCAGGTCTAAACCAGGACTAAACCAGGACTAAACCAGAACTAAACCAGGACTAAACCAGGACTAAACCAGGAGTAAACCAGGAGTAAACCACTTTTCAATTCTAGTCTATAATATAAATGATTTTTTATAATTCTTACAAAACCTTTTACAGACAAGATTTACCTGGAGGAAGAGTTGGAGCCGAAGGTTTGGACCCAGACCCAGGACCAGACCCTGGACCAGACCCAGGACCAGACCCAGGACCAGACCCAGGACCAGACCCAGGACCAGACCCTTTTAGACTCAGGTTTAGACTCGGGTTTAGACCCCGCAGAGGTCTGGGAGGGTCCGGCTGTGGTCCTCGTGGTGGAGGGGGGGGCAGAGGTCACAGGTGAAGCGCAGGTGAGCGGGGAGGCGGAGCTAAGCGGTCTGCTGGCCCCGCCCACTCTCCCGGTCAGGTAAGCGGCCAATCGGTTGGCAGGATGGAGCGCGCCCATTCGACCCAACTGCACTTTCGCCAGAGGGTACGGCTTCCCGTTCACCTGAGGACAGACCGAGGACAGACCAGGGTTAGACCAAGACCAGGACCAGGACAAAGACCAAGACCAAGACCAGGACCACAGGGTTCCCACTTTTTTTTACTGGCAAAATTTAAAAACTTTTCCATGACTTTTTCATAACATTTTCAATTTCTATGACTTCCTTTCCTCTCGTCCTCTCACCTGGACGCAGTTTTCGTCGCTCCCGCTCTTCGGAGTCGCCGACATGAATCCCGCTGGACTGATGCTGGTGAGAAACGGTAGAGCCACGATCTGATTGGAAGGGAACTCCGCCTCCTGTTTACTGTCTTCAATCAGGTCCTCGTGTGGTTTAGACTCCACCTTTCCCTCAGGCTCCTCCCCTCGCTCCTCAGACCCCGCCTCCCATCCATCAGGCCCCGCCCTCTTCTCTTTAGACTCCCCCTCCTGGTCTTCAGGCTGAAATTTAAAAGATTAAATAAAAATGAAGATTAAATAAAGATGTAAAATAAAATAAATAAATAAAATACAAAAATGAGAATTAAATAAAGATATAAAATAAATTAAATTAAATAATAAAAATTTTTATTAAATAAATAAATATATAAAATAATAATAGATTTATAAAAATAAAATAAATAAATAAAATGTTATAAATGAGTACTAAATAAAAATATTAAATAAATAAATTAACAAAAATAAGGGTTAAATAAAGATCTCAAATAAAATAAATAAAATTACATAAAATAAAAATGAGGATTAAATAAAGTGTTTTTTTCTTTACTAAAAATGTACAAAGTGTAGATTGTGCAGAGTCGAGTCTCAGGTCTGATGTGGTTCTGGTTTGGCTCCTGTTTTGTTCAGTTCATTAAGTTTATTAAGTTACACATTCCAAGACCAAAGTGTGAAAAATAAAGATTTTCAACAATGATGGTTCATGGTTAGAAAAGTGAATACAATTTTGGATTTTGATAAAAGTTCTGGACATTTCATTTTTCACACTAAGTTCAGCCCAAATACTAAACACTGAAATCAACACAATCTGATCCCCCCAAACATCCTGCTATGTTTTATAGAAGTATCGGATCGGTATCGGCAGATACTCAAAATCAAATGACTCGGGGGCAAAAAGACGTGATCGGGACATCCCTAGTTTAAAGAAAACGTCTGATTCAAAGTGATTTTATTTTTCTTTTCTATAAAAATCCTCCTCAAACTCAAGAAAATGACCAAAACAAACAAAAACATTAAACTGTTTGTGTCGTGGTGCAGTAAAAGTAAAAGCCGACCTCTGACAGCTCCGGCTGGTCTTCGTCTTGGGGCCAGTCCATCTCCTCTTCCTCCTCCTCGTCTTCGTCTTCGTCCTGAACACAGAACAGTCAGAACCTCTCAGACCCTCATGATTCACCTCACACTGAGCCTCATGTTCATCCATCCATTTTCGTCCGCTTATCCGGGGCCGGGTCGCGGGGGCAGCAGCCTAAGCAGGGACTCCCAGACTTCCTTCACCCCAGACACGTCCTCCAGCTCCTCCAGGGGGACCCCGAGGTGTTCCCAGGCCAGCCCAGAGACATAGTCCCTCCAGCGTGTCCTGGGTCTTCCCCGGGGTCTCCTCCCGGTGGGACATGCCCAGAACACCTCCCGAGGGAGGCGCCCAGGAGGCATCCGGAACAGATGCCCGAGCCTCAACTGGCTCCTCTCAACGTGGAGGAGCAGCGGCTCTACTCCGAGCTCCTCCCGTGTGACTGAGCTCCTCACTCTGTCTCTAAGGGAGCGTCCAGCCATCGCGGATACAAGCGCTCATGTTCATCTCCTCACTTTATTTAACAGTTTCTGTCTAAACCCTAAAGCACCTGCAGCAGCAAGAGTCAGAGCAAAAGTGTGAGGAATTACACTGTGTGTGTCAGGTTTGTGTGTCCTGTTTGTATGTGACGTAAACTTGTACACGACCTGAGCACATGTGACCAGAGTTCTGCGTCTTGGGCAGTGAAAACGGAAACGGAACAGATTCAACTTTTCCACTCTGGAGGCGGTTTCAGACTTTTGTGTTTTTAAGCCCCAAAAACGCTGTAACTGTCTAAAAAAAACACTTTCCATAAATTATTTTGTTGTTTTTACTCACAAGCGTTTTCGTGTAAACAGACCCTGAGACAGACTCTGACGTGTTTCTATTTGCAGCTGAAGGATCTGGTCTGAGTGTAGAGAATTTAGTTCTTACTTGGTGCTAGTTTTTGTTTCCAGATCAAGATTTGTTCAACAGAGAACCTTCTTCATCTTTTAAACTTTTGTAAAAGTCGTGCAGGCTTTTACTTCATCACACCTGGACGACTCTAACACATTTTACTCTTACATTTTACGAAACGCACTTTACCAACTACAGTGAGTCCAAAACTCTGCGGCGCCACTTTTAACTAGAACCAAAAGAAGAGACATTACCCCAGTCCTTGTGTTTTTGCACTGATTTTAAGATTTTAAGGCTCAGGTCTGGAGCAGTTTACAAAGTCTGAGTACAGGTCTGGACTCACCTGCGCCCCCTGGAGCTTGTTTATCTCCTGATGTGCCTCCTCCTCCTCCTCTCCCCTCTCCTCCGTCCTCTCTTCCTCTCTCTTCTCCTCTTTGGGGGTGTACTCGCTCCTCTCCTCCTTCGTCTCGTCTTTGTTTCTCCTCTTCTTCTCGGGACTGGACATGTGGGGCGTCTCCTCGTTCGTCTCCTCGTTCGTCTCCTCGTTCGTCTCCTCGTTCGTCTCCTCGTTCGTCTCCTCGTTCGTCTCCTCGTTCGTCTCCTCGGTCGTCTCCTCGTTCATCTCGTCGTTCTTCTCCTCCCCGTTGCTCCTCTCTTTCTCCGCAGTGGACATGAAGGCTTTGGGGGTGGAGATGTGGACCCTGATCTCCGTGACGTGTTTTCCTCCCTTCTGGACGACGGTGGGGCTGAAGGGGGAGATGAAGTACGGCCCGATCCAGAACGGTCGCTCCAGAGACCCGAGCGCCAGAGCCTCACACAGCACTTTGAGCACCGAGACGCGGTCGCCTTCGCTCTGCCACTTACAGTTCGCCAAAAGCACCAGGCGTTTGGAGACGGGCGCAGAAGGGGCGGAGCCTGAGACACATGAACATGAACATGAACAGAAGTGAAGAAGAACAAAGCTCATCCACCAAACGGTGTGAGCACAAACCCAACGCAGCACTGAGGTTTAGACACGACTGTAGAGTTTTTACTTCTGTAACACGTCACATATTTAGATCAACATCTAAATCTGATCCTTTTATTGTTTTTAGTTCTATTCGCCCAAAACGACTCATTCACATCTTTATAACTTTCACTTTTGTCCTGTGAGGTTCATTTGGTTTTCTGATCATTTATGTTGATCTCCAGTGTTGGGGAAGTTACTTTAAAAAAGTTGTGTTTGCTCGTTATTTCTTTAAAAAGTAATCCCTTACTTTCCTTAGTTACCCTCTGTGGAAAGACACTTTTTATGTTCCTTGTTACTTTTTGTTGGTAAATTCCAGCTGAGACTAAAAACGACACGAGGGCGACAGTCGACAAGAACCTTAACGGAAAGAAGAAAAGAAGTTTGTAGAGAGAGTTCAAGAGGACGTGAAACCGCTCAGAGGTAAACGGGAGGGGTCAGTCTGCCCGGGGGGGTCACCTCGGCGGGTGAGGGGCGGGTGAGGGGCGGCAGGTCGGGGCGGGAGCTCGGTGCGGGAGGATCCCCTCGAGGGACCTCTCCCCGGATGTCGCCGGTACGATGCTCCGGCTGTTTTACAGCTCCTCCCACCCAGACCTCGCCACTTCCTGAGGCCGTGGGATCAGTGCCCTCGCGACAGTGCGACTGTCCTCCCAGGTGCATCATGGCGCCAGGCG